TAAGCCTCTAGCTATCATCTTTGGAAAATCATGGGAGACAGGAGAGATTCCAGAGGTTTGGAAAAGGGCAAATATAGTGCCCATTTATAAAAAGGGAAATAAGAACAACCCAGGAAACTACAGACCAGTTAGTTAAACTTCTGTGCCAGGGAAGATAAGGGAGCAAGTAATTAAGGAAATCATCTGTAAACACTGGGAAAGTGGCAATGTCATAGGGAACAGCCAGCATGGAATTGTGAAGAACAAATCATGTCAAACCAATCTGATAGCTTTCTTTGATAGGATAACGAGTCTTGCGGATAAGGGAGAAGCGGTGGATGTGATATACCTAGACTTTAGAAAGGCATTTGATACGGTCTCACATGATATTCTTATCAATAAACTAGGGAAATATAACTCAGAAGGGGCTACTATAAGGTGGGTGCATAACTGGCTGGATAACCGTACTCAGAGTAGTTATTAATGGTTAACAATCCTGCTGGAAAGGCATAACGTAACAAGTGGGGTTCCGCAGGGGTCTGTTTTGGGACCGGCTCTATTCAGTATCTTCATCAACTATTTAGATATTGGTATAGAAAGTACGCTTATTAAATTTGCAGATACCACCAAGCTGGGAGGGATTGTGATTAATCTGGAGGATAGGGTAATAATTCAAAATGATCTGGACAAATTGGAGAAATGGTCTGAGAAATAGTTTGGGACCGGCTCTGTTCAATATCTTCATCAACGATTTAGATATTGGTATAGAAAGTACGCTTATTAAATTTGCAGATACCACCAAGCTGGGAGGGATTGTGATTAATCTGGAGGATAGGGTAATAATTCAAAATGATCTGGACAAATTGGAGAAATGGTCTGAGAAATAGGATGAAGTTTAATAAAGACAAATGCAAAATGCTCCACTTAGGAAGGAACAATCAGTTTCACACATACAGAATGGGACGCGATGGTCTGGGAAGGAGTATGGTAGAAAGGGACCTAGGGGTTATAATGGACCTCAAGTTAAATATGAGTCAGCAGTGTGATGCTGTTTCAAAAAAAGCAAACATGATTCTGGGATGCATTAACAGGTGTGTTGTGAGCAAAACATGAGAAGTCATTCTTCAGCTCTACTCTGTGCTGGTTAGGCCTCAGTTGGAGTATTGTGTTCAGTTCTGGGCACCGCATTTCAAGAAAGATGTGGAAAAATTGGAGAAGGTCCAGAGAAGAGCTACAAGAATGATTAAAGGTCTAGAGAACATGACCTATGAAGGAAGGCTGAAAGAATTGGGTTTGTTTAGTTTAGAAAAGAGAAGATTGAGGGAGGACAGGATAGCAGTTTTCAGGTATCTAAAAGGGTGTCATAAGGAAGAGGGAGAAAACTTGTTCATCTTGGCCTCTGAGGGTAGAACAAGAAGCAATGGGCTTAAACTGCAGCAAGGGAGGTTTAGGGTGGACATTAGGAAAAAGTTCCTAACTGTCAGGGTGGTCAAACACTGGAATAAATTGCCCAGGGAGGTTGTGGAATCCCCATTTCTGGAGATATTTAAGAGTAGGTTAGATAAATGTCTATCAGGGATGGTCTGGACGGTATTTGGTCCTGCAATGGGGGTAGGGGTCTGGATTCAATGACCTCTCGAGGTCCCTTCCAGTCTTATTATTCTATGATTCTATGTAGTCGTGATAAAGTCTTGGATTCTGAAACAAGATTTTAGAAATCCTCTTTGAGAGGCAAACATAGAATCAGAGGATTGGAAGGGTCATCAAAAAGTTATCTAGTCTAGCCGCCTGCACTCATGGCAACTATGCAAATAACTAGACTATTCCTGACAGGTGTTTGTCTAACTTACTCTTAAAAGTATCCAATGGCACAGAGTCCACAAGCTCCCCAGGCAATTTGTTCCAGTGCTTAACCCTGACAGAAAGGGTTCCCCCCCCCCATGGCCAGTTTAAACCACTCTTGCTGCAATTTAAGCCCATTTCTTGGTCTCCTGTCGTCAAAGGAGAACAATTTTTCTACCCTTCTGCTTGTAACAACCTTTTATGTACTTGAAAACTGTTATCCTGTTCCCCCTCAGTCTTTTCTCCAAACTAAACAAACCAAATTTGTGCAATCTTTCCTCACACCTGAGGAGAGATTACTAAAACTGGGACTTCTCATCTTAGAAAAGAGGAGACTAAGGGGGGATATGATAGAGGCCTATAAAATCATGACTTGTGTGAATAAAGTATTTAAGGAAAAATATTTACTTGCTCCCATAACACAAGAACTAGGCAGGGGTCACCAAATTAAATGAACAGGTAGCAGATTTAAAACAAAAGGAAGTATTTCTTTATACAAGAGTCAACCTGTAGAACTCCTTCCCAGAGGATGTTGTGAAGACCAGGACTTTCACAGGGGTCAAAAATATCCTAGATAAATTAATGGAGTGTGGGTCTATTAATGGCTATTAGCCAGGATAGTAGGAATGGTGCCCAGGTTGTTTGTCAGAAGCTGGGAATGAGATCACTTGATGGTTACCTGTTCTGTTTATTCCCTCTGGGGGACCTGGCATTGGCTGCTGACGGAAGGCAGGATGCTAAGCTAGATGGACCTTTGCTCTGACCCAGTATGGCCCTTCTTATGGTCACACATGACTTCTAGACTTTTAATCATTTTTGTTGCTGCTCTCTGGATGTTCTCCAATTTGTCTACATCTTTCCTGAAATGCAGCACTGGACACAGTACTCCAGATGAGGCCTTATCAGCATGTAACAAAGCAGAATTACTACTTGCCTACAACACTCCTGCTAATACATCCCAAAACTAGGTCCTTTTTTTTCCATTGGCAATATTATTACACTATTGACTGGTATTTAGCTTGTGATCCACCATGACCAACCGGATTCCTTTCCACAGCATTCCATTCTATGAAGTAATTTCTCATTTTCTATGTGTGCAACTGATTGTTCCTTCCCATGAGGAGTACTTTGCATTTGTCCTTATTGAATTTCATCCTGTTTACTTCAAACCGTATTTGTCCAGATCATTTTTAATTTTAATCCCCTCCTCCAGAGCACTTACAACTCCTCCCAGCGTGGTATCATCTGCAAACTTTATAGGTGTATTCTCTGTACCATTATCTACATAATTTAGAAGTAAAATCCCTAAGAATGGAAACTGTATCCCTTACCCCTTCGTGAACCTGGCAGAGAAGTGATTAAAAAGCCCAGACTAGAACTTTGTACGTAGCTTTATGGACAAAATTAAAGTGTCAGGATCATCTCTGGTAATGTATGCACGCCACATGGTAAAAC